CACCCCCCCCCCCCCCCCACACACACACACCATGTACCATGTATACGACCATTGCAAGAGAAGCACGCAAATCTGCAAATGCACTAGATGTGCACCCACAGATTTTCTCTTATAGCAACGATAGCGAACAAGAGCTGAATGAGACAGATCAAAACTTGCGCCATATAACTGTCTAATCCACACAACTGGCGAAGCCATGTGAATCGGCCACCAATGCACACCTGGTCTACACCACACGGAGTACATCGGCATAAAAAGGCCAAGATAGTTACCGATGCACACCCTACACTTGCTGGGGTAACCAGTATAGACAGCACGCTGCTTTGATAGAAGCAGACACTAGATGCACTGGTACCTTGAAATGAAATTGGAGTTACTTTACCAACCAGCCTCGGCTGGTTGGTACACACACACACACACCTTGCCCCCCCCCACACACACACACATGCACACACGAGCACATACGTGCACCCATATGAGCATGGACAACAACACGCACGCACATACGCGTACTGAAAACCTGCTCGCAGAATGCAATGACAAAAAACACATGCTAGCATCGTTGCATAACACCGCACAAGTCACTTACTGATGTCATCAAAGTCAGTTATGTTCATTGTCGCAATGCCAGTTTCAGCATCAGCATCAATATTACAATTATCCGTGATGTCGTTGACTTGTGGCGGAGAGGCTGTTGAACTACGTGATAACTGTCCTGGCGTACGAATTACTCGAAGCTGGTGCACAGAAATTGTAGAAAAGCGAGGCACATAAGCCAGCAATCAAACCTTGGTGGTATAATGGTGCAGAGTTTCTACCACTCCAGCAATTACAGTAAAAACCCACCAACATGATCACTCTGGTGTAAGGGGAGCACCTTCAAGAAGACCACAGTTCCCAGGACCAAGACTAGTGATGTTCTATCCAGTCAAACGACCCTGGATAAGGAGACCACCTGTGTGGCTGAGCACGGAGACTAGATCTGCAAGGTCCCTTGAGCTGTCGCCTTAGGCAGGTTTCAATGTATCAGGAAATGGCATTCTTGTTACACAATGCGGCAAATGGCATTGAGGTAGAATAGATACCAGCATAGCATCCATCCAGGAGACCATAATCCCACCTCGTGTTTACCGGGCACGCCGCCAGCAACTCCCTGCTCTCCGGCAACGTTCACTTTCAGCTGAACACTCTTCTTAGGTCGAAGGCCTGATGGCGTGCACGACACTACCTGCATGTGTAAACAGAGTGAGCAACATGGGACACGATGAAGAACATCAACAAGCCGACAATTAAACCTAAGCTATAGGATGCCTCACACATCAGCTACTTTGAACACTTAGAAGTCTATAATTTAGAAGCACGGGAAGTGTATGTTCGGTCTAATGCATGCAGCCCGATAATTAAATTCACTGGGCTTCTGCAGTTATAATGTCATTGCCCTCATTGCACTGCATCAATGTTCTCTCACTATCATCATCAATGTTCTCCCACTATACATTTTTTGTGTATCTGTCGACGCAAGTTTTGGGCATGGGGATGCAAGCTTAGCACCCTTGCTCAGTCTTGGGTCAAACTGTTACTGAATGCAACTCGGATCAGCCTGGATGCAGGTCAGAAACTGCCTAGGAAAGACCTGCTGCACTACTACCCTCCTGTGAACTGTCTCAATTCCCTCTGCGCAAACGGGATAAAACAAAGCTGGTCATAGGCAAGTGCTTCTGTCCGCAGCTAGCCGTTTGTACAATGATGTTACGAGGATTGTCGCCTCAGGCTCAGGATTTGAATCGCGAATTGGTTGACCCGAGGACTTTTCTGTGTAGTTTCAGCGCCGTCCAAAGAGGCCAAGCTCTGGCTAGCAGAGCTTGGATGGTTCCTTTTGCAAAGCGTTCTTGCTATGGCGCAGTTCCTGTAACAACACGAAGCAGTGTGAGTGATCAGGTTGTTACAAGTCCAGTTTCGGAGCTCACTGACACTCCGCTAGATGTGGCCATGGTGTCATCTGCCCCTCCCCCGGGCCAAATCCTGGATACCCCACTGCATGAAGCTCATTACCAAGCATTTCGCTGCACGAAGCAAACTTCACAGGATGTGGAACAAAAATCACGCTAAAAGTGAGCTGCAGCTGCAAGCCCAACATTGCAGCCATCAGCAAGGGCCACAACAAGCGAGTAAGCGTGTCCTACTAACACGCTACCCTATAACCATGGTGACTGCCACTTAAAACGAACAAGTACAGCAATACAAGAACCCGGGCAGGTGGTTGGGAAATGACTTACTGAGAGCATTTGGAGCCTGCTTGGATCACCACTTTCACTCGGAGATCCTTCACTGCTGTGTTCGGCTCTAGAGAAATGCTGAACAACACTGACACTCAAGTCCATGGGCAAAGCACCAGGTTGAACGGTTAGTCGAGTGCTGCCGTCTGAAACCACCCCTCCTTCATTGGCGTCCATGCGAGCTGTAGCCGTGCTAGCTTCCTCCTCCTCCTCGCACTGGACATGACACGAACAACATGCAGCATGTGACCGTTTTAACCCGTTTTACCGGTCGAACTCAGTGTATGCAAGGGGTGGTCACACATGCACATGTACATACAACCAGCTATAAATAATTTTAACTATGCGATGTACCGTATTTTCCGGAGCATAAGCGGCACTTTGAACGCTCAAAATTCACCCGAAAAATGGGGGTGAGGCTTATGCTCTGATGATCAAATTAACGGTGATAAATAGAGTAAAAAGTCGGCGTGGAGACAAGAAACCTATTATAGATAGAAATAATGTGTATGAACTCATACCACGACACCAGAGGGACAATTGTGTAAGGATTTCAACGTCGCTTTCATGTGAATAAATAGAGTAGATGTCTGTATTTTGTGGCAAAAAAATGGGGGTGCGGCTTATACTCCGGGAAACACGGTATGTACAGTAAAACCTGTCAAGCCTCAAGGTGACCATTTGGATAAGACGACCACCGGTCCCAGCAGACCACTGCAAGCAGCACCAAGGGATGCTATTTCCAGTCCAATGACACTGGATAAGGAGACCACCTGGTAACAGAAACCAGGTTTTGAACGGGTCCCTTGAGCGGTCGTTTTGCGCAGGTTTCACGGTATGCGTAAACCGCATGAAATCAAAATCAGTATGCCTGAACGCATCCATCAAACACAAATATGACTAGGTCCAGGCGAGGGTATGACCTGCTGTAGTCATGCTTGCTCGTTAAACCTTTGTACAGTGAAACATCAGTCGAAAGTACTACTCTGGAACTAACATACCTTTCTCTTTGCATTGGATATGAAATGCTATTTTTGAGCACCCTGGATGTCCTTTTCCAGTCATCTGTCCTTGGATATACATGTACTGCACCTCATCCATAAAGTACAGATACGGGTCCTTGAGGTGTATGTTGTACTGATGTTTCTTCCGAGGCATACAATCATGAGGTCTTTTCCCAGTGGCAAATTTGATTTGAAATAATTACCAGGATTCCGACTGCACTCACATATGTCCTGGCCTCTAAGTCAGCATCGGCATGTGACAATCTTCTGCTGCGAACGGAGAAATCTCTGGCTGGTTCCTCGTCAGACTCTTCGGAAAGGAATTTCTCGAGAAACTCCGCTTCGATGAATGAGCCCACGTTTTTGTTGGGTTAATGCAGTTAACCCTTGTTAGCGCTCATCACAGACTCCCACTGCTCATTTCCTCATGTCCCTTATACATAGGCATGTCCTTTTTTTACCTTTGGCACCTGCATACATGTGCAACGTATGCACTGCCGTACACGTCTGCAGGTGCACACTCATGCACTCACTGGGCTACCCGATACGCCTGCTACAGTTGTCGCCAAAAAAATCCGGCCAATGCCAAGTATACGCGTACATAGGTATGGTAGGTAGATCTACGCGGTACTTCATCGCGGGTTCATGCACTGGAGTGGCACATGCACTAGACTCTAGTCTAGCCTCGGCCACTGCCACTGCCACTGGACAGCATGCAGTGAACAGTCTGCGCCGCACTCTGCCTGCTGCAGTCGGGTTGAGCACTGCGCCGAGCCTGAGTGAGTGTAGTCGTGTAGAAGGCGACGGTTTCAAATAGGACATACCGGTAGGTTGCAAACCGGAACGGACTCAGTATTCACTTTCTCTCTTAGTATTTTGATTAGAAAACATATGTCACAGTGAGACTACGGTGTGTTATAACTTATACTCCGAGCCAAAATTTCATGGCTCTGCGATGGCCAGAAGCGCCACACCAAGCAGGTGAGTTTTTGACGTGTTGCTTCGCACTGTGACTTGAGTTTTACGACTTTCGAAAAATCAACTTCTTGCCGAAGGTAAACAGCGGCTCGCCTCTCGCCAATAAAGCACCGCATACCAATCAAAACTAATGGAGAAGCACACACAAGGCTTATTGTTACTCTGTACTGGCCGTCGTGGAGCGATAGCAATTACCTAATTTCAGACTAAGAGTGAATTTGACGTGCACTCTAAAACCTTTCCGATTTGGAACCACCTCTGATTTGAAGCGAAAAATTGGGCAACTTGGAGGCAATGGGTCAACACAAAGGAGTGGCTCAGTTCGATGGACTCTGGCCTCAGAGCAAACTTCAACATGCCAGTTTCCTTCCACAAACATATTTCGAGTGAACAATCAACGCTGATGATAGGTTTGCATGGTTTGGGCCTATACAAATTTGGCTGACCTGTCGAGCCGTTCCGGTATCGAACCGTCGCCTCTACATGGTGTATGCGGGCCTAGCCTGTCAGCATGTGAACAGTGAAGTAACTGCACTGCATGCAGACCCGGTCTACCACTACCACTATGAAGTATGATGCAGTGCATGCGGCCCAGTACAGCTACCGGTAGCTAGCATTGCATTTGGCCGGATTTTTTTGGCGACGACTGTACATGCAGCGTGCAGCACGCAGTTACCATATAAGGTACACAGGGCCGTGCGCCTGTCCCGGCTCCGGGTCACACTTACAGCTCAGCACGCATGCAGGTAAAAGGTTTCACAGAACTGTGCGCCCGTCCTGGCTCCGGTTTGCACTTACAGCTCAGCGATCAGAAAAAAAAAAATTATTACCGCAGTTTGGAGTGCTCAAACTGTTTAGTTGTTGTTTTCTGCTTCTTGCTCCGCAGTAGTGGTTGGCTTCTGAATTCTTTTTCCCACCATCCCACCCTTACCACTATCTTTAACTAGGACCTCACTACCAGTCCACTCTTTACAATAAACACCGGGTGCTGGCGCAACTCTTAACGGCAATGGTTTAACTCGTTCAATCACTCCGTGCTCTATGTTGAGCCAACACACGCGCTCTATGTTGAGCCACCATACGCGCTCTATGTTGAGCCACTCACCCTCTCGCGCTCTATGTTGAGCCACTCACTCTCTCGTGCTCTATGTTGAGCCTCTCTCTCTCTCTCTCTCTCTCTCTCTCTCTCTCTCTCTCTCTCTCTCTCTCTCTCTCTCTCTCTCTCTCTCTCATGCTCTATGTTGAGCTACATTGCCTCACTCGCAGCCAGCACCCGTATAACTCCAAACTCTGTGCCCTTTGTGTTGGTGTACTTCATAGCGGTGTAGCATCTGCATGTGCATGTGGGATGTGGGCTAACCATCAGTTTTGACGTCGAGGTATTTTTGCTATCGCGGACCTCGAGTGCACTTGTGTTGGGTGAACTCTGGCGCTTGCACAGTGCTTCCATTCCTTGGGATCTGGCGTAATGCGTCACAAATTCGTCAATTTCCTCGCCTTGATGATCGGTTGCCAGCGAATACGGGCTTGCACCATCCTATGCAACAGCCGAAAAGGTACATGCACATGCACATACATACACGCACCACACACATAACTATTAAAAATTTGTACACACACACACACATACACACACACACACACACACACACACACACACACAAATATACACACACACGTGCATAGAAAAACAAGGCAATCAGTCAAAGCTGTTGCCATTCCAGCACAAGGGCGTGAAAACACAACTGCAGTGAGAAAAACTGCATTGCACTCGGTAGGAGACTGTCCTCCTTACCAGAAGCAAGGGCAATGAGCAGGGAGACATGTACACTAGCTACCGTTACATGCAGCATTGCATGTACAGTAAAACCTGGCTTTTAAGCGACCACCCAGTGGTACGAGCAAAGGCGGTCTTGAAAAGCAGGTGGTCTTTAGAACAAGTTCACATACATTCAATGGTATACGGTGCCAGGGTCGTGCACATGCTCCATTCCATGCACCGTACTATCTCTAATATAAGCACGGTCCTTTATTTTTTCAATGTACCTCCGCCCCGTGCTATTAATGGAGACGTTCCTTTATTGGAGACTGTTCCATTATTATTTCAACCTCATTTCAGAGGCATGTTGCCATGCCAAATTCATGTCAGACACACACATTTCAGGGTTTTTTTCGCCGGTACAGATAATGAATTTACACAGTGTGCTTATAATGGAGACTGAGCACTTTATTTTTTGAATGCCGCCCCAAGGTGTTCTATTATTGGAGACGTGCTATTATTGGAGACTGTGCTTATATTGGAGATAATACGGTACTCACAAAAGTGCCAGACATCGAATAATGTCTTAGATCCTTCATGCGTATATACATTAACAGGACCGTAGTTGTCCAGATGTGCAGTACACCTTTCAGTCACACGAAGCACCCACGAGTTTCCACATCTCACTGCAAGCGTATGCAGTGCACCCTGCACGGTCAATGGTGTATGCAGTGCACCCTGCACGGTCAATGGTGTATGCAGTGCACCCTGCACGGTCAATGGTGTATGCAGTGCACCCTGCACGGTCAATGGTGTATGCAGTGCACCCTGCACGGTCAATGGTGTATGCAGTGCACCCTGCACAGTCAATGGTGTATGCAGTGCACCCTGCACGGTCAATGGTGTATGCAGTGCACCCTGCACGGTCAATGGTGTACTGTAGAGGCAGAAAATTTCGTCGGTCAATAATTTCGTCCAACTCCAAAGAAAAGGAGTTCGTCCGGTTGAAAATTTCGTCCATAGATCATAAGAGTGTATAGAAACGCTGGACAAATCGATATTCGTCCTACATTTAATTTAGTCCAAAAGCTCCTTGGACGAAAAAGACGAAATTAAATTCCAGACGAATATTTCTGCTTATACAGTATGCAGTGCACCCTGCACGGTCAATGGTTACTTTCGCTGACTTCATGTACTCACTTTGCAGCCCTGTTGCAGTCAAGCATGCCAGCTATAGCGGGATTCACAGAAGCATTTTTGTGATGCGGTGCGCGATGCGACGGCCGGGAAACCGGAAAATCCCCAAATCGTACCCACCGTGCAGCTCACGCAACCGTCGCAACTGGCCCATCGCAAATTTGAGCTTGGCTAACTTTTCCGATGTGACACGCGATGCGATGTACGGTTTAGACCTTTTTTCAGCAAACCAGTTACCTCTCCGACCGAAATCAGCGCATCACAGTGAATGGAACTTTACCTGACCCTGAATCTGTGACGTCTGGAGTGCCCCAGGGTTCCATTTTAGGTCCCCTGCTCTTCCTCACATACGTTAATGATCTTCCCTATGCAATTCCCAATATTTCTTTGTTTGCGGATGATACCAGTCTCCTCACTTCCTCCTCATCTCACACCACCCTGTACCCCGAAGTCCAGACTTGCATCAACGACATTGTCCATTGGATGAAAACATGGTTCGTCAGGACAAATGTGGACAAAACAGAGCTTCTCTTTTTTCCTCCCCCCACAGGTCCGGTACCCATCTTCCACTTTCTCGACTATCCCGGCCACCCTATCTCTGTAGCACCCCGATATAAGCACCTTGGCATTGTCATAGACCCCGCCCTCTCCTGGTCTTACCTTGCTGACCATGTGTCCTCCCGAGTATGCCGATCCGTCGGTAGAATGAGCCTCTTCTCCTATTTGCCCTAACCGTTACGGGACGATAACGGGACCAGTTAATGACATGACAATGCGGTCTAACTACAATTCGAAGGAACAAAACAGTAAAAGGAGCCAGCCATCCAGAAAGCATGGAAAGGGATACTGTAAATATACAAATTTTCGGCAGCTATTTAATTTCGGCTATATTCGGCACCGACCCAAAACGCCTAAATTAAAACGCCGATGAAATCTTTCACAGCATCTGTCGCACTATCATGCCCTCTACCCCACGCCGAAAATAAATCGCCGCCGAAATGTCAAAAATCATGAAGTGCCGAAATTTTGCAGCGCCGAAATTTTGTATATTTACAGTACGGGAAAATAGAAGTGGAACATTACCGTACTGCGCAGTAGAGCGCAGGAGAACCGCGAGCGTGGGTACGTGACATATGCAACCAAAAGGGAAGTGTGAGCATGATTAAAGTACAGGGAGTTGCGATTTATGCTAATGTTCAAACTGACAGAACACAGCCAACTGACTTCTTCTGTGAACGGCATTTCGCGAGTTCGCGTGGCAAAAAAAGCAAGCTTCTGTGAATCCCGCTTGAGACAGTACTTGCGGTCACTGCATCTAGGTCAGATACAGCACTCGGTACACTAAGATTCGGTCGCTGGTCACACAGCGCAGATGGTTGCTGTTTCTGGTGCAGTTTCTATGCATAACTGCTGGTGAATAAGATTGTTGTTGAACAAATCCTTACCTGGTCTGTAGCAAACAGGTCTGCACCATGGCGTAATAGTAGCTTCAGTGCTTCCACTTGTCTGGAATGAAAAGAACAGTACAGAGACGAAGGAAGATAAGTTTCGTTGGAACAGAGGGCATGCCTATACAATTCTTTTGTGTACAGAAGGAAAATGTACTGTCCCTTCAGTTGTTTGGCATTAATCCCCGTGCTTTTATTAAGAATAATGTCTCTCTTTAGTACGTTTGATGAGTTAATGCTATTTTTCATCTTCATGCTGTGGTTGACCATTTGCGTGCACTGGTTGCACTAAACCTTTTACACTTGTAGCGTGATGTTTTATGTCCTTAATTTTTTTGCCTAACCAATTTCTGTTTTACACGAAAAAAGAGAAATAGGTCCAGCTTGGATTTGTCGTGACTCAAAGTTTCCTGCCACTGCAATCATCAGACGACTGATAACAAAACCCTAAGACTAATCCTTATGAAAAAGATCATGCGTGATACTTGGCGCTTAGACTGCCATTACTCTACGCGATCCACAAATGAAGGTCAATATCACACAGATGTTATGGATGATATGAGGGATAATGTTGGCACTGACGTATGCTAAACCAGTCATGGTTGTGATGGTTAAAGGTAATATTAGCACTGATATTTGGCAAAACCAGTGATGACTGTGCCGGGCATTGTTCTTGTGCTGCAGTTGCGACTGGCTGCTACTTGTTCTACTATGTCACGCTAGGTGCGAAGTTTTTTTAACTTAATACTGTAAAAGCCATATATATAATAACGAAGTGCTAACTCTAACGAGTTAACGAGGAGAAATCTGTCGTTAAAATAGAAATCATTACACAGAAATCGATACATATACTGTCCTATTGAGCGTTGAGAATAGGGGAGAATCGTTACCTTTAGTACACGTAAACCAGTCAATTTTGGGAAATCGTTATATTTGCGCCTCGTTAGAATAATGGCTTTTACAGTATTTGTTTCCATGGTGGCATTTTGACACTAGTTCGTTTCTTCTGTTCAGGCTCTTCGGGTTGTTGGCATTGTTCAATAGCTTCTTCTTCTTTGCCGGCAATTGCCAAACTTACTCCTTTGTAATTTCTGTTTTAGTCATTATCCTTTATTCCCCGCATGAGCCCATGATGAGAAGGGAACGAAAACGTTCGCTTCAGAAAATCTCTGTTCTTCTAGACCGGCGTCTAGACCGGGGGCGTGGATGACATATAGATGCAAGTACTACTTTAAAAGATGTTTGTTGTTTTTTGTACTTAACCAGCTACACAGGCATTTCTGCCTTCTCACCTAACCATACGGCCAGACTGTCAATAAGAGATGAAGAAGATGATGGACAGGATGTATTCTGTTTCGATGGATTGAGAAAATCAGCTCCTGCTCAAGTATGTCCACCGTCTCGACATGAAGCGCAGTCGCATCATCCATCCCACCAGTAGCCTGACCCCCCCCCCCTCCCCCCCCCCTTTTCTGTAGTACTAGAGAGGTTGCAAAGTTTCGTAGCGTACGGCGGATGAGGCAACCACAAAAATGGCCTCGGAAATCGGTTGCCAATCGGATTCGGAGGTTGCGCAAACGTTTTTCGGAGTACGGGAAACAGGTCTCGACAGTCAAAGGCATGCACGTGCTTTTTTTGTATTTTGGTATGACATGATCGGCATAGGCAGGGAATGAATTTCATGATAAGAACAAATGAGACAGTCCATAACATGTTTGTCTGAGTACTATACGCATGCAGCAGACATTCACAAAACCAGATTGCATTCAGCACTTGATGAGGGTTGAGCTACTCCAACTCTGCTTCAGGACTGGTGTCGTTGGAGAGACATGGTAGCCGAGCGAAGAATCACAAACCCCCATCTGCATGCAATCCATACCATGGTGATGGAGTATGGCTCGTTCCGTTTTTCACCGATTATCAATCCAAACAGTTTGTAGAATGGAGTTGCCGCCTTGCCCTGGCCTCCGGTAGCACTTAAAACGAGGGGACCGAAGGTTGCATGCTCCACCTTGCGAACACGCTCCTCATAGTGCCGACGCTTCTCACGCCCATGTTTTGCGTTCGAGGCGGGGATAGAGCGGATGGAGTTTGAGGGAGCATGAGGGTTGAACACCCGAATATCAAAGAAAGCATGCGCTAAGTGTAGAACAGTACACAGGTGTTGTACATTACTGCGTGCCACTACGCTGATTGCAACAAAAAGTAATTTTCGTGGTTCAGCTCTTCTTTGGATGTCGAAAGTTAGGCCACACTTTGTTTTTTCTATGTTTCTCGTCATCGCCCGCGTAGGTTTTCAGAAATTTCGGAAGAAAAAAAAGTTCATACTATGTACATGTATGTGCGCTGCACATGCTGCAGCAACTAGATGCGTCAATCAAAATCGTAAACGTTTGCAACACAGCAGCAAAGGAGCGCTCCTCGTCCGTTCTCTGCGATGAAGGCTGTCATGACGAAGCTTTCAGTCGTTCACTGCCTGAGCCTCGTGGGTCCCAGGAATACCGTAAGTCGGACGAGTTCCGTTGCAACTGGCGTCTGTGGAACGATGTGGTAGGCAGAAAATCCAAGCAATAGACGCATGGCAAGGAAAATATGAGCAGCATGGAGACAAGAGTTTGATAAGCGGACACAAGAACGTTGAAGTAACAAAATCAAAATTGTGACGAGTGGGAAACGTTTGTTGATGCGATAGCAGATAAATGTATGTTCTCTTCGCCATCTCGTAATCAAACTTTATGCTCTCATTGTTGCAGTTTGCCTGATATTCGTGGGCTGATGTGATAATGTAGTGCAATCATGTATGGGACTACATGTACATGTACATGATTGTACAATGTAGTACTGTATACATGGTATACGCAGTGTCTTGTATGAATCACGCATATGCATATACATGTACATTGTAAAATGTATACGTGGCAGTTTTCAGTAGAAATTGTTCTTGTTTTTTCCTTGGATTTTGTTTTTTTTCCGCCCGCCCGCGTACCTTTTGTTAAAATTTGCCGACGAGAAACATAGAAAAAACAAAGTGTGGCCTTAGCACTGAAAAATCATACAACTTTCGTTTGGCTAGGCCGTGACAGCCATACTTTGCGAATTTTCGTTATGCGCAACCTCTCTATTGTTTCCTGGATTTCACCTTGTACTTAGCCCTTGATGGATAATGCCGGCCGAAAACGTGGCAGAATTTCGGTACTTTATCTGGTACAGTAGGTTTCATGCATGTTTGGTATGTGGATAAAGAAATGGAGCAGAATTCAAGGAAGTGCGTACCATAAGGTTCAATAATAATCTTTGTTCCCGAAGCTATGCAAAAGACCGTTACTTTAGGAGCGTCTGGCGCTAGCCAGGGTCCACAGTGCTTTATTTCGGTGTGTGTTTGTGTGTGTGTGTGTGTGTATGTGTGTGTGTGTGTGTGTGTGTGTGTGTGTGTGTGTGTGTGTGTGTGTGTGTGTGTGTGTGTGTGTGTGTGTGTGTGTGTGTGTGTGTGTGTGTGTGTGTGTGTGTGTGTGTGTGTGTGTGTGTGGTAGGGTACGCCATGGCACGCTATCCCAAACGCGTCCCGTACCGTACCGTCAAAGGCAGCTGGCCAGCATATTCAAATAGGGCTTTCAACTGCAGGATCATAACGTGAAGCAACTTGGTAGAATGTGCATGTATGCAAAGTGTATCAAGAGAATGCATGCAGGGCGAGAGTGCGGGTTCGAATCCCATGTTATGTCTGCGTGGAAAAGAAAAAAAGGAAATAAACTAGGACCATAGCGTTATATTATAACTACTCGGTAGAACGTAGCTGGCTGGGAGTTAGACTTTTGAGTTATGCATGTATGTGTATTTGTGACCTAGAGTTTCTTTAAAAAAATTATTATAAAGCACTGCCGTGTTCAAGTAGGTGGATTCATTATTAGGTCCACCCACAGGTTCGCTCGTGCCGGATAGATTCAAGTAAGGGGATAGTGATAAGATGATGTAGAGCTAAATGATAAAAAGAATAGTTTCCAGCTATACATGTATACACTGGGTGTGACAAGGGTACAACAGGCTGCACGCAAGGCAGTGACTAATAGTCATGCTACATGTACGTGACAGTAACACTCAACAGTTCCATGCATCCGTGCATGCATTAATTCCGATTCTTTGCATTCGTTAATCTTCTGATGGTAGATGGTGTAGTCATGTAATTTCTCGAACTAGTCCTTTCATCTCACATGAGTCTATTCAATAAATACCAACCTCTCCGGGCCATCGAGAGAGAAAGAGAGGAGAGAGAGAGAGTATTCTCTCTCTCTCTCCCTCTCTCTCTCTCTCTCTCTCTCTATCCCTCTCCCTCTCCCTCTCCCTCTCCCTCTCCCTCTCCCTCTCCCTCTCCCTCTCCCTCTCCCTCTCCCTCTCTGTCTCTCTCTCTCCCTCTCTCTATCTCTTCCTCTCTCTCTTCTCTCTCCCTCCCTCCCTCCCTCTCTCTCTCTCTCTCTCTCTCTCTCTCTCTCTCTCTCTCTCTCTCTCTCTCTCTCTCTCTCTCTCTCTCTCTCTCTCTCTCTCTCTCTCTCTCTCGCCCTCTCTTTCTCTTTCTCTCTCTCTCTCTCTCTCTCTCTCTCTCTCTTTCTCTCTCTCTCTCTCTCTCTCTCTCTCTCTCTCTCTCTCTCTCTCTCCCGGGTTTATCTGTTTCACAAGGACATTTCGGTGGGCTTATACAAGAACATGGTCTTATACGCGGACACTGGCTTATGCACCCACACCAACATTGTGCTATTGAAAAGTAACAAGGAAGTGAGAAGTACAGTGCTGGCAACTGAAATCCGAACCCCTGAGCGTTGTTTGCGATGTGAGCGCACCGCTCAGGGGGTCGGATTCCAGTTGCCAGCATTGTACATTGCTGGAAATCCCTGTGCAAACAAAAAACACTCGATGATTGTGTTGAAATGCTTGTACAAAAACACCGAACATTTTCTCTCGTACTGGGCAGCTGGTGCACGCGAGTATCACATGTGCAGCGACGTAGCAGTTGGGCACTCGATGATTTCAGGTATGCATTGCAGTTGAAAATCAAGAATAAAAAAAAATTCTCTTTGGGGCACAGCCTTCGGTACCTAAAAAATGCATGATGTTACCGTGCATGCACCGGAAGTAGGCGGGCTCATAGCAACCTGGGAGAAATTTTGAATTTTTTGATGGGAGCGTGGCACGCATGTGAAACTCGCATGCACTAGCTGCCCAGACCTAGAGAACTTTCTGATCCAATCTGGGCCATCTCGCACTACTGTTGCAGTCCTTGCTGATTTGTTGTTGTGGAGAAGTTCTTCTTTCTCGTCATGTTGGGCTGTTGTTCAGCAAGTGACGCTTCGTGGCGGCTTCATTCGAGTTTCTGCGAGGGCAGGGATTATTCCCATGATTTCTCAGTGCTGGTAGAGTAGCGAAAAGGTATATGGAGGCGCTCTGTGTGTGCTTTCCTGCCACGAAGTTGGATTCGGCTAGTGCATGGTCATTGAAGAGTTCGAAATTTGAATATTTCCCCCAAGTGATTTTTAGTGGATAACTTTATTCAAGACCCCTTGTTGGCGCTTGGGGACATGTCGTACCAGACAATGGTGGTGGTCTACTCCCAATTTCAGGACGTAACCTCGCTGCTACAGGCCCTTGAAGATGGACTTTTTGATGGCCGCCATTGGACAGGCTGAATTGATCGATTTGTTCGAGGGATTCAGCAAGTCGCCAGTCGAAAGTTGGATGGGTAAACATTACTACTACCTCCGAAAAGTGAAACTTGGCGCGGTTTTTTTTACTGCGAAATATACGAAATAACTCACACTTCACAATCAAAACTAATGATTGACTCCCAAAAATACAACTTTGTATTGCTCAACAAGGACATTAGAGCCATCAGTTAGGCTGAGTCACTCTCCTCTGATTCAGAGATCGCAGTTTCTTCTGGAGAGGAATTGTCCCTGTTTTGCGACGAAAGTGCGACTAGAGCGGATTCAGTTGCAGCAAGTACCTCTGTTGTGATCGCTCTGGAAATCTCGATGTCGCTCCTCTGTGCTGTTCTTGAACCACGATGTCGAGGGTAGTAATTTACGCCACAACTATCTAGGTTGACGTGGTAAGAACTGTGCAACACCTCCACACACGCCTGGATTCCAACTTTTTTGTTGGGTATTCTCGCCAACTGTCCAAAATTGCCTGCAGCAATTCCTGGCGATTTCCCTTAGCCACCAGAGACGCATCGCTCTGGAGGCTATTGAAAGACGCCAGTATTGTTTGGCATCGACGTATGGACTCTGTGCTGGCTGAGTGACCAAGTGGAGAGAGAGAACTCCGTGGCTTTGCATTGAAAAGCGAAAGCACGACGATTCTCCTTCGCAGAATTGACTCGCGCACTGTTGTGCTGGTACACGAGACACTGGCCTGCCTCTGAGTCTGACTAAGTCTGAGCCATGTGCCGCTCACCAGCTCATCGCTTGGCTTCCTGCACCCGGTTGCAATGCATGGAGCTACAACTACAAGTAGGTCGTACCTCCGAGCCTTGTGAAATTGTGGTACCAACACAAAATCAAACAAACGCGCCAAGTTTCCCTTGTCGGAGGTAGTAGGTAACTTGGATTGGTGTGCGAACATAGTTGGTTTGGCTGCGCTGTGTTGTTGTGAGCAGCAGTGATCCCTCGTTTCGGTACCTTGTTTCAGTGCGTATTTTAGTCGATTTTTATATTTTGGCCAATATCCAAGGAAGGTCTCTGGACCAAACTGTCATAGTGGGTGAACAAGGTCCCGAAAGGAGCCAACTTTGAGCGAAATCGGGAATTTGGCCATGTCCGGTGATATTTGCTTGTTACAGACATTGACTCTTAAATGATTTTGCAGAGGCGGTGGCCTGTCAAGGGGATCAAGGGGGTCAAGGCGATGGCCTATCAACAGTCAAGGGGATCTCCTGATTCAATACAAATCATAGGATAGCGAAAAACTGGTCTAACCGACCACCCCATGGTGCAAGCAAAACGGCCGTTAAAGCCATGCAGGTAGTCTTTAGGGCAAGGTTGCATACATTCGCGGCATATCGGATCGTATACATACTTCAATGAAACATATCGACAGGTGTGGATCACTTGTCACTTGTATTGACTGCATGCCCAGCTTCCGAACCCACTTCAACCCTATGTTGCAGTAAAGCCTGCCGCCCAGGATAGCACTTTTGGCTAGTTTTGGTCGCTGTATGCTGGTCAGATATGGTACCTGGTGCACTAAAAGTCGGCCGCTCGTAACGCAACGCATGTGATCGCCATTCCCGGTGCAGTTTCTATGCAGAACTGTCCGCGCATTGAAAAACGGTCGTGCTCCTGCCATGAACAGTGTGCTAAAAGAAGGAGATGTCTGGAAATGTGTTCTGTATTTTTTCACGTGCTTTGTATTCTACAGCATCATTCAATACATTTCATTAACAAGTAGTATTTCCCAATCACACAATTATAGGCATGTACCATTGCATGAACTACTGGCAAACATGATGACTTTCAGTAGATAGTTACTCACCCGAACTCTGCTGCATCATGTGCTGGTGTTGTATCGGCATTGTCACATAGTCGTGCTAGAGCACCAGGCTCTGGGTGTGTGTCGAAGAACCAGAGCAGCAGCTGCATGTGGCCTTTGGCTGTACAACGAGTGGTGAAGTTCAGAACACGAATACCCAGACATACACACATACGCATATACACACACACACGCGCGCGCACGTGCGAGTGGCGTGCACACACAAACAAAAGCGAAAAGAAAAGAAAAACACACATGTACTTTGAAGTACACACACACACTGTGCTTGCTGTACTGTGCTTGCTTGGGATGACAGGTCACGTGAGTCTCCCCCGAAAAGGGGAGAAAGATTCAAAAGGAATCTCAGAAAGAGGACTCAATTGCCTATTGAACCTCCCACCGGCCGACACCCCCTGATATCCTCAAACTCTGGGTGGATTCGGAAATGATCGCGCTTATGGGCTCACCACACGGTGCGGAAAAGGGATTGACGGCATCAAGGTATCCGTCCCAGGATCCAACTGCATTCACACCTGTCCCCAGTCAAGGTAAGACTTGCTACTACAGTGCGTTTCATAATAGTTTGCAATCCTGGAGATCGCCCGGGGAGTTTGCCGTATTACCGTATCAGCTGCCTGGAAAAACTCGCTGTGAACTCAAAGATATATTCTGCGCAAAATCATGAAAGATGAATAGCTCACTCATGTACGTACATCTGGGACATGCTGCTTGATACACTTGGAAAGATGTTGAAGGGTCCTACCAACATACCGACTACCACACTGTCGGCATTCAAAGTTGCATATGAGATGACTCAATTGGTGGGCTGGTAGGACGTCCTTCAACATCGTGAGCAAACATATCAGGGTGAACACTTGTAACCACACTGGCCATAGAATTGGTCTTGTCTACTAATGATTTTACCACACGGCCAACTGTGTGGCCCTTTCCAGGTCAAGCATAAAAATACCCGGCAAGGAAGTGGTACGATTTGTTGTTTCTTAACAACCGGCGTAGTTGTTAAATATCGGTCTAGAAGCTGCTGAGAGTAACCATTTTTGGTAAACACAACTAGTAGGAAATTCGAGTTTTGGCTGCAGCTAAGGTGGTGAACAAATACGTTGGGCTCTCTGCACAAGGTTACGTACCAAGTTGACTTTATACTGCGAAGAACAAAATGAATCGTACTTGGTCCGCGTCATCAATATTGTCGCTTATCTTTCAGCTTGGTTTTTATGTCGCCAATGCTCCCTTGTCTGCTCGTTTCCTGTCACTTTGGTTGTTAAGTTAGTTTACTACTACTTGAAAGGTCCAGCCAGATTATGAGTGGATTGTCGAGAACAACCCGTGGGTGGTTCTGATTGATACCACACCGCATCAATCAGCATGGGAAGAGAGCGGGGAGAGAAGAAAATCGAGACATTGCTGAGAGACAACGACTATCCAGAACACGCTATTCATGCAGCCAAGGACCATGCAAGCACACCAAGATCACCGACTAGATAATGACAACAATCGAACACATCCATCATCAAACTGCCCTTTATCCGTGATTGCTTCGTTTGTACGGTCAGGTCATTTAGTAAGAATATGTGTGAACAGCCATCAAAAACAGGAACAAACCCATCCACGGCTCTTTCTCTTGCTAGCTGTGCTGCTGCGTGCATCCAACTGTTTTGCAATTTCTTGGTGAGATTTGAAATTTCTAAAGTTCCGCAGTCGTAGGAGATCCTGAGCCGTCACCATGAGCTCCGCGCCATCACTTTCCGATCTCCGCCAACTCAAAGTCGACGGAGCTTTCTTGCTCAGGCAATTTTAGAGCCCAGGTGAGCCGTCTTCATGAGCATTTGTCGGCCCAGGCAAGAAACCAAGCTTCTACGAGCCAGGTCGCAAAAAAGACCACGCGTCGGCGGGCTAGTCCTGCGTCAGCCCCGGTCACTCAAAGCCCCGCGGCCCCGACCCAGCCTGGCTCGTCGCCCGCGTTCACGTCGCAACAATCTGCAGAGATCTTCCGGGTCGTGCAAGATGCAGTGGCGTCCTGCATGACGTCATTGACAACATCGATGGGTCTGCAACCGGTGATACCTCCACATGCACAGCCAACAGTAGCAGCAGCAACAGCAGCACAGCGGGCTGGTCCAGTCTCTGTTGATGTTGTGGTGCCTGAGCCTGAATATGTCCAGCCTTCACTGGCTTCAGCACTAAGGCCAGACCAGGAGAGTCTCTTCCTGGACGGCGAATTTGCTCGCCCCGGAGCGTCCACCATTCATCCCATTGCCTGCCCTCAGCGACCATCTCACGGACAAGATTATCAAACGTGAGTACGTTGATTTTGGTAGGGTACTGGGAGAGCTGGCTTTTGATACGAGCATGGGTCTGGACGGTGGGTTCACCCTGCAGGGGACGGGGGACCACATCACCCTTGTGCCATCTACCATGTCGTCGTCATCCCGTCTAAAGAAAGTTGTAGACTTGACATCGTGGTTGGAGGCTTTCTCAGCCTTCGCCCAAGTAGCCCTCCACCACGACCCCGGCAGAGGTCCGGAATTATTCAAGTATCAAAGCACAATCGTGAAAGCGGCCGCACGCTATACATTCGGTGCGTGGTCCGGCTTCAACATGTCGTTCTGTGCAAGAGCTGCACGCAGCAAATCTAGCCTTGCCACCTCAGACCCAGAACTCTGGTCGGAGTGGTTTACAAACTCCACCCTGCCTCTCTGCCGTCACTGCAACCGGCAAGGTCACTTAGCAGTTCGCTGCCCCCGTGCCCGTAGCCTAGCTTCACTGTCTGAAGGGCCCACAGCCAAACGCCCCTTTCCGGCACAGCGGTCAGGGGCTACCGCTCAGCCAAACGCCCCAGCTATCTGCCGCGACTACAACCAAGGCTGCTGCCAACGCGCAGCCTGTCGCTACGGCCACCAGTGCAGCACATGCTTTGGCAGGCACCCCGCCAAGTCATGCCCAGGAAAGCCAGCCGCCACCAGCCGCGACCAATATCTCGCTTGGAGACTCGGTCACTCCAGTCACTCACCAGTAACTCTACACTCACCCACGACAATAGCACTCCTACACTCTACCCGGCTGCTCACATATCTCCTACACGCACCCTCGCTCACGAGCCAATCCGTTTGCACACGCCTGTAACCCCCATTAACGTTTCGTACCTGCATGACGCTTTGTGTAAGCATCCTGATCCGGCTTTTGCCTCATTCATAATACATTCTTTGTCTTATGGGTTCGATGTTGGGTTTGCTGGTCTCCGTACCTTCCGAGTCTCTCGTAATCTCAAATCAGCGATTGAGCACCCTGACATTGTCGATGCTGCCATCGGTCGTGAAATTGCCGCAGGTCGAATGGCCGGTCCCTACCAAGAGCCTTCCTTCCCACTTACACAGGTCTCCGGTTTGGGTGTGGTTCCCAAGAAGTCACGGTCGGTGCAAAAATGGCGCTTGATTATGCATCTGTCAGCACAACAGGGCCACTCAGTGAACGATGGTATCCCTGTTGACAAATTCTCTGTACAGTACTGCTCGGTCGACGGCGGTGTAAATCTCGCACGGTCCCTCGGCCGTGGCTGCCATCTGTGGAAGGTCGACCTCCAAGACGCATTTCGCATTTGTCCACTACGGAAAGAGGACTGGAACTATTATGCCTGTTCTGGCGCAGGCAATATTACGTAGACAAATGCCTACCCTTCGGCCTTCGCTCATCACCGTCGCTGTTTAACAAAGTCGCAGATGCCCTCCACACGGTGACTTCATGTGCACCAACTAATGACATGGCGTCCTTTCATGCGGTTTACCGCACGGATTTATGAAGTCGGACATATTCCGATTTATTTGCATCAATCGCACAAAATTAGGTACATTTCTCTTGTAAACCCTGTCAGTTTGAGAATTTAGACAAACACCGAACAAATTTTAGCCGCGACGAGGATCGGGAGGAATCCATCATAATTATTTACATAGCTACTACCATCACGTCGACCGAGTGAAGATCGAAATGATAATGGAGTGGAGAGAAGAAGACCTGAACTAGAGTGCTTGAGAGACTATGTAGTGTCACATGAGAATTGCTTCGTTAGGAAAGCTCTCCTTTTGAATGGAGAAGCCCAACGTCGCTGATTTGCATCGCCGTTTTCAAGCGCTGATCTGCAGTAGGAATGTTTTTGTAAATTATTCTTAGTTGTGGACGTGGATGGATTCAGCGCTCTGTTCTCTCAGCAAGCCTACTCAGTCCAACACGAAGGACTTCCATGAGCGAAACAACGTGCTCCTCGAGCAAGTGCAGCTCGGGGTAATATGGCCAATGCCACGGGAGACCACCTCGTGCTTGCATAAGGCCAAGAATTGATGGCAAGAAATCTTTGATGAGCGCCTTCGACTTCAAGGACGCAATGTATCACCTCAGCAGTAGCTGCAGCGCTCTTGCTGAAAATATCACTGCAAGCATGCACTAGGCATGATTTTGTGAAGAGCTACTTGTACTAGCGATTGGAGATTTGGTGTTGGCTTTCAGGGCTGGGCATATCTGCTCCATCATGGTAGCTGGTGCGTTTGTCAAGGCAGTGCAGTTTCTGCTGCTGTTTCACAAGCCATATGCGCATATGCGCAGTGAGTAGGAATTTGTTGTATGATAGCTGAGGATCACCAGCCTTCATGGACAAACCTATATTGGGACTGGTTGCTGAACAGTGCACACCTAAATCTCTCAGCAAGTTCTCTTGCTCAGCTGGTGACGAACACTATATACCCGCTGCTTCGGGCTTGCAGCCCCGTCTCCCGACCGTAGACCGATCGAAAGGCTGTCACGGTCCTGTGACCATCGGCGTACAGTTGACGCTGATGGGGCATCGGATAAAGTGCTGGCGTCAGTAATTCTCTGGTATACCTGGAATCTACATCTACAGCTGGTTTCGACTTCCAGCCATCCTTCGTTAGTTATGCTTGTGACTATCAAGCCAGCAAGTCGATCAGCAGCATCGCCTCGCATCTTTGATGGTGAGGCCTGCAAAACGTCACCGACCAGTGACGATGCTCAAATAGGGCACCCTACCAGAGCTGGCGCAATGTATGGTGCAGTCTTTCATGAATCCATAAACTATGCCGTTTGGCTGCTGTAGCTCTGACGCTTGCGTGTGTGCCTTACATTAAGGGCAGCGGGCCGTCTGCTCTAGCCATTTGCCAATGCATGCACGGCTGAACGTCTACCAGCAAGCTGCAAACACTTCTCTCCCTACCTGTGACACTGTGACATAGTGGACATTGTGCGTGTGTTATTGCCTTCCTATCTGAACTGTTCTGGATGCAGAGATTTACCCACTAAGCCCTAGAGAAATATGAATAAATACTATACTACTACTACTATTACTAAACTTGGTATGCGGGTGTGACGTGCTGCTGCTCATCAGATTCGGTCCATGCGACGCTCGTGTTTTTAGTTTTGTTATTTTGTCTTCCTTTTTTGAATTCGTAAACCGAACAGACTAAACTATCCAGTGATCAGGTACTGGTGCGGTGGGGCGAGGTTTTGTTGGTGATGCTGCTGTCAGTGGTGGCGGCGTGCATGTGCTCGTGCTTGCGGGCGATGGCCCGCGTTTTCTCCCTTGCCGCAAGTTTGTCTTGCGTTTGTGTTTTGCATTTGGACTTCCTGCCAGGCTTGGAAGACTTGCATTTCAAACAGTTTGTCCCACTGTGTGGCTCCCAGTCTTTGAGCGATGTACATCCACCTCTGGAGCTCCAGAGAATGTTGGGCCCCTGGCAGTAGCAGTGCATTCCATGGCCAATTTGCAAGTGTGGCAAAAAAGTTCAGGATGTATTTGATTTCATCCACATTGAGATGAAACACTGCCAAAATGGATTGAGTATGATCTGCCACACGATACTTCGTCCGTCCACTCCTTGACGCGAATTTCTCCCCTCCAATACGACAACACGATGACAGGAAGCTAACATGAGCCTCCATTTCTGAACAAAATAACGTCTCTAACATGGCCACGAAAAGCTACAGTGATGCACGTCAAGCTTAGGAATACACGAAATTGAAAGGCTAGGACATCGAGGTATACTAGAAAATTGTCTGCGAGGCGGATAATATTCGCTGACGAGGTTGGTGAGCCCTTGAAATCGAGCGACGATCCAAAAATAATTGCACCCACGTCGAGAAAGAAACCATGCGTAGCGCGTGGGTAACCCAAGAAGATCGCTCGAGCGGCGGCACAGTCGAAGGCAAGGCCAGTCCAAGCTCTAAACTCTATCGAATGACCTGGCAAACACCCGTGGTTTCGGTTGACCTTGCCCGTTTGAGATGGAAGTCGAGCGAAATTGCAAACATACGACTAGGCCAGGTCGCGTAAAAAATGAAAAAGATTAAAATTTGGCCGCCATATTGAATGAACGCGCGTCGCATGCATGGGACAGCCGTGTCCAGTGGGTCATGTTGCACAACTTTGATGTAGCTCCAGTCATCCACTACTTAGACGACTACCTTGGCGGAGCGACGGACTCTATCGGCGCGCAGCACCAGCTTGACCGTGCCCTGGTAGCCTGCCACGACTTGGGCTTCCCGGTCAATCCGAAAAAGGTGGAAGGCCCTAGTACAACCCTGACATTCCTCGGTGTCATGCTGGACACAGAGCGCTTCGAATCCGCCTCCCATCCGACAAGTTAGAAGACCTTCTCACTGCCCTCAGGGCTTGGCAACATACCCGCCCTACCGCCCGCAAGTCTGAATTGTTGTCTCTGATAGGCCACCTCAGCTTTGCCTGCAAGGCGGTCCCTGCGGGCCGCATGTTTCTGCGCCGCCTCATTGATCTCAGCACGACTGTCCCGAATCCAAATAATTATATCAGAATCACAGAAGACGCCAGAGCAGACATCCAGTGGTGGCTTGACTTCCTCCCTGCCTGGAATGGCGTCGCCTTCTTCCTGGAACCCACGTGGTCAGCCGCCGCTGATATGGACCTCTACACGGATTCATCCAGATTCATCGGCTATGGTGCTTTCTTCGCCGGCCAGTGGCTCCAACACCGGTAGCAGAGGCACCAATCCCAGAGATCCATCACGTGGATGGAGCTCTTTGCCATCGTGGCCACAGCATCCACATGGGCACCGCAGCTGCATCTGAAGCGCATCCGCTTCCACTGCGACAACCGTAGCGTATGCGACATCTGGCTCCGCTCAGGCACAAAGTGCCCCGACTTAATGGCGCTTGTACGCACTTTGTTTGCCATTGCTGCCCGACACAACTTTCACGTCATAGTCTCCCACATCCCCGGCACTGACAATGCGATTGGCTGACTCTCTGTCTCGGTTTCAGATGGCCCGATTTCGCCGACTGGCACCCACAGCAGAAGAAACGCCATCTTCGGTGCCCGAGAGCACCTACTCCCTCTGATGTTGGAGGGTCAGACCTACGAGTAGCTAGGCCTGTCAGCGTCCATACGTGCCACATACGCGACAGCCTGGAAACGACTGCACCAATTCGGCAAACTGGTCGGCACCAAGGTGATTACAGACACCATCATGCTGGCGTTTGTAGCCTACCTGGTACGTCAACGTGCCGCGTCAACCGTCCGCTTGTATATGTCGGCGATCCGGGCAATTGCCAAAGAAAACGGCAAAGATCTCTCTTCGCGAAGAGTGGACCTCGCAGTTCAAGGAGTGGCACGTGCACAGGCCAACCGAACTAAAAACGCCAGTAAGCCAATCCTCCTGCCCCACACGGCAGCTATGCGCAATGCCCTGATACGGTCTAACCTCAACGCTACCGACCGAGCCATGGTATGGGCAGCTATTTGCATGGGCTTCTTCGCCTGTCTCCGGGCAAGTGAATACACTTCCATAACCGCCACAACCATGTCAGACGGTGGCCTCCGAACAAATGACCTCTCCATCACGCCGCAGGCAATACAGGTCACAATCAAGAAGTCCAAGACCGACCAACTCGGCAAGGGTCACTCCGTCCGGCTCACAACCACCAACTCAACGGTTTGCCCGGTCAGAGCCATGCATACCTATCTCTCCAGACGCCCCAACCTGCCCAATAGACCACTGTTCGTTGACAGCTGTGGCAAGTTCCTAACTGCACAAAGACTCACACGTCTAATCCGTCAGCTCCTGAGCAGCGCAGGGTACCCACCGATCCAGTATTCACTGCACGGCCTCAGAGCCGGAGCCGCAACCACAGGAGCATTGAGCGGCTTCACCGAATCCGAGATCATGAAACTCGGCAGATGGCGAAGTGCCTGCTACAAGAACTATGTCCGCTGTGGAAAGTAACTCTTCACCGTCCGACAGCCACACCCACATACACGCACCCGCATACACATACACGCGCACGCACACACCCCCACGCATGCACACACACACATGCATGCACCCGTACGCGTACCCGCAGTCTGACACCGCGCAAGCATACATGCAGGTACACACACTGCGCACACGCTGGAACGCCCATTCGCGGACGTATGCACTCACATTCTAGCACTGACTGTGCACGCACGCCTCTGATACTTATGGTGTTGTCTGCACCACTCAGCTGCTGTGCTCATGCTCCCACCTATGGCATCATGCCACCCATTGCTTTTGCCGACTACATGCGATTCAAACCCTTATCAGTGTTACTAAGGGAAAACGAACATACGAATGGCACACATTTGAACTACGTACATGTAGCTGAAGCGCTTGAATACCACACTAAGGTCATTCGGCTGACCAACGCAGAATTTGGGGGCATTCGGCGGCTTGGTCCGATTCCTAGCTTGTTGGTAACCGGCTTGAGATTTCCAAGGTTGCTATGACAACGTGCAGTCATGCGCAGGGCCACCCAACATGCATTCGGGGGCCCAGGAAAGACAGAAACGCGTTGCTAGGCAACAGCAAAAGCGCTCGGCGAGTATCACGCTACTCATGCAGCGCGCACGTTGGCGTAGGGTATCACGCTGCCTTTGTGCTGTGGGGTACCACATTGCCCCTCGCTGGAATCAGACCCGTGCCCCGGATACCTTGCGCTGGCCTCCTGACGGCCAAACTCAACCAACTTGTGCGCTGTGACTGGGGTTGTGCATGTATTAGCAACATAATGTGGCCCAGGTCGGCAGACTTTCAATTAGCCAAGCGAGCTACTCAGGCCAGGGTGCATCACTATTCGCAGCACTTATCGTCCATGCAGCAGTCGGGTTAATATCGCCATCATTGTCCCATCCTGAATGTTCGAAGGAGGTGTACTACGATGTATCAGAAAAGGAGAGGACGAGGTCGACCTGTTGGCTGTCGTGTGTGTGATGCTGGTGTGCAGAGTGGTCAGTGTTTGTTTTAGGATGTCATCTACTCCATGTTATGTTCGATTTGTCCCAAGGAGTGCGTTGGAGAGACAAAGAGAACTACCAGGAAGAGGTTTGAGGAGCACTGCAGAGATTGCTGGACAGTGGACACAGCGTGAAACTTGATGTTTGCTGATGTTGTGCTGGACTGTGGTATTTCACACAGTACTCTTCTGTCTGTCTGTGTGCTAACTGCTTTGGCCGTACTCAGCAAAAGTTTATCTGCATCTTCGTCCTCACACATATGGTTCCAGCTACACTGCATGCATTATTTTCCAGGTCACATTAATTAACACATTGACATACCCCCCCCCCCCCCCCAAAACACACACACACACACAGCTGTAGGTTGATTGTGATTCTTACAGTGCTCTGCGTGGCTTACCTGCAGCAACGTGAACTGGTGTAGCACCATCGTTGGTCCGTTCTGCAATGCCATGGGTTCCTATCTTCCCAATCAGCCACTGAGGAGGTTGACATCGACAGACATGCACACACACATTCGCACAATCAAACGTATTATGAGATTATTCATTAGGTAAAGTACTACACGTATTACCTAAGGCAGCAACTGCTACCTCAGAATGTGCCTGTTGCGTGACTCTGGAGTATATAGGTGGTCAATCAGAAATGCATACAGCAGTATGTATGCAACACAATTATTGTCGCTCATGCCGGATACTTTGGACTAAGCCCGAGCACAGCAATATGCCGTATTTCCCGGGGTGTTAGCCGCACATTTTTTAAATGCGTATATAAAAAGTTGAAAATTGCCCCTGCGGGTTTTTAGACATCGAATACTCCACGTGTACCGACCCGCGTCCCATGCATATATGGCATGTATTATGTCATTCGACTGCGTTCCCTGCTCTGCTTTCGACCCTTGCACCCGCACCGCAGTGCACAGTATCTATGATTGCTTCAACTGCCATACTGAGAACGTGTCTCATCATACGCGATCACGACATGATCGGCAAGGGATCACAACACTTACCGTGCAAGGCCGTTCAGTCAGTGGTATCGTAGATCCATATACCCAACATATACGGATAGATACGACACGACTATCGATCCTCGCTCACTTTGCATAAAAGTAGGAACTTCAGTGCTGAAATTTGTCAGTTCTGAGTGAAGAACAAAGCAAGACAAGCTTGCTAGAACTAGAGTTGTTCTCTGCTAGTTGTGCGCTTCGACTCTCAGGATGCCGAAGCAACGCAGCTACTCTGCCAAGAAAAATATGTCGCGATTATAATAATTTGCTGAGCAACATGGAAATCGTTCAGCTGCTGGAAAGCTAAGCGTGAATGAATCCTTGACTAGGCAATGGCGGACACAAAAGATGAACTGTCCAAGCTGAAGAAGGAAACACGCTTTCATGCCACCATGGGAAGACGGTATAATGGCCTGAACTTGAGACGCTGCTTTTTGACTGGATCCACAAGGACTGTCAGGATTGCCATGCCCTGAACAGCACCACGATATGGCTGAAGGCATGAGCCTTCGCCAAAGAAATAAAATTGAGCGGATTTTGTGCAACGACCAGCTGGTGTTATCGATTTATGAAGCGGCATGGTCTTGTCATCCGTGCAAAGACTTATCTCTGCGAACACCTCCCGGATGATTTCGAGAACAAAATCCTGCAGTTCCAGCGGATGGTGATATAGTAGCATGAGCGGTAGCAATATCGACTATCACAGATCGGCAACATGGACGTGATTCCCATGAACTTCGACATGCCACTGAGTCGGAGAGGAAATTGTGCGGGAGCAAAATCAGTGGGAATCACCACCAGCGTTCATGAAAAAGATCACTTCACAGTCGTTCTGGCATGTTTTGCAGATGGTACCAAGCTGAAGCCGATAAGTACAGAAGGGGGGGGGGGGGAGCTTTGCGAAAACGAAAAAAAGCCTCCCCCTTCTGGACTTATCTTTGATATTTCTGAGTTACCCAAGCTGGGCGGTGTGCTGCCTTGTTGCTTTGAATTGTAGTTAGACCGCTTTGTCAAGTATTTTACTGGTCTCGTCATCGTCCAGTAACAATCGACATTCTTTATTCCCGTGGGACTGTAGCATGTGCTCATTTTCGTTGCGCTTACCTTCCCCTCTTTGGTCTCTCCTTAACCTTGAACCTTCCGGGTTGGAAGGCTGTTGGTTAGCGCTACGGAGATATGTTGAAGCTAGTTATCAGGCCGTCGAATGTCTCAGTACTCTGTCAGTTTTGTGCCTAGTTGTTGCACTTTCTGACTGTATATAGTATCTGGTTACAGTGATGGAGAGTTACTCTAAAAGTTACTCGTATCCATATGTACTTTTCCTTTCTACATTTATGGTTGGCTCAACATCCGAGTTTCAAATTAAACTATATTAAATTAATGTATGATTATTGTTGAAGTGGAAAGTTGAGTTCGGGTAGTCAATTGTTCACATTCTGAGGTACCACTTATACTCTGAATACCAAAAAAAAGCAATTTTGGGCCCCGGAAAGGGGGGGGGGCGGCTTAGACTTGGTGTGGCGAACACCCCCGTAAAATACGATACTGCAAGATGTAGCGCATGCACCGCTCCCCTACCTGTACAGTCTCCAAGTGACCGAATTGAGTGGCGGCATGCACAGCTGTCATGCCATCGTTGGCGCGGATCCTCGGATCACCTGGGCATTCAGTCACCAGGTACTGAAGAGCAACTAGCCGACCTTCCTGTGCTGCAAAGTAGACTGGTGTGGCGCCTAGACAGACATACGGGAAAAGAGAATTTGAGGCAACATCCATGGTTTAAGTTGTCGCAGTCGAAAATGGAGGTCAAAAGTAAAATACAGCTCGAAGTCAGCAAGAAGGTCAAGGCAGAAGACAACCGGTCTGAGAAGGATACCTACACATGTACTGCATAACTGCATCAGTGTTCTAGGAAAATTGGGCTTGACAATGTACACTGGACGAGTATTAGTTTCTGCAAGTCCTGTACAGTTGTTTTTTTACTGAAGTGGAAGCAAATTTTTGAGCTCCGCAGTTTTTCAGTCTCTGGCAGCCCGTCGGCATGGCCAGGAGAACCACTAGCAGCATTAGTTAGTTAGTATCATGTAGTAGGACTGACCTACCTCTGGCGGCCATGCCGCCAGCTACAAAGGCCGCCCTCAAGGGGCTCTCAGAGGTAGAGACAACACTGTTGTGCTCCCTCCCGGGTATCGAGTCGTCTGTGATTGAGGTTATCAAGACCCTGGCGAACTTAGCGTCCGAGTCGGCCGATCGCGAGGATCACCTCAACAAAAGAATCAATGACCTGTCGCGGCAAGTGTCAGGCCTGACTCAGGAAGTTGTCTCCCTCAAGGAAGCCGCGATTGCCAAGGCAAGTGTTCTCCCAAATATTCAAGCTCAGCAGAGCCAGCGTACGTAGCGTGGATCTACGAAATCGTCAAGAAATCGTACCCATACCCGCACAGGCCAGGCTGCTGCGTGCACTGCTAGTACGGGTGAGCCCCGTAGCGTGGGTGACACTGGCAGTGACCCTGAGGCGTCCAGTGAGGAAGACAGTAATTCTGAGATCATTGGCATTGAGGGCCCCTACAGCAGGAGCGCTAAACATTGCTCCAAGCCAGTCCTGGAGGTCTTAGACGACGGCAGCTGGCAACTGGTGTCAGGAGAGCCTCCCAAGTCCAGGAGGGCAGTTTTGTATGTATGCAATTTAAGCTCAACCTGCACTGAGGAGGGACTGAAATGCTTCACCCGGCAGCGTGCAGTTGCAGCAGGGGGTGCGGCAACGGTGCACACTTGCAGCCTCCACACCACGGAGGCAGGAAGAGTGTCTGCCCACCTAACTGTGGACGCTAAGGACCTCAGCCTAGTCACAACTGAGAATTTCTGCCCAAGGCCCCTGTCCGCGAGGCCATGGCGATTTAAGGAACGCACTGAGCAGCAATCCAAATGATGCCCCCAAGCCTAATGCTCCTGCTCACAAATGCCTTCGGACTGCAATCCAAACTTGGTGAGTTCCAGCACACCCTAGACCAAGTCCAACCTGATATCGGCATCATCACAGAAACCAAGCTCACCCCAGAAAGTACTACGCAAGCAGAGCTGACGGTCCCTGGCTATTTCTCACCCTTGCGGCGTGACAGGACTCGCCATGGTGGTGGTGTGGCAGTCTGGGTTAAGACTTCCCTCGCTATGCGGGAGCTGGAAACAATCGACGTGCTTGATCAGGAGCTCATCTGGCAAAGCGTCAAGTTGTGCAACGGCCAGTCTGTGGTCATATGTGCAGCTTACCGCCCTGGAACGTGCTCAGACACGGACATCACCGTCTTTGACGCCATATCTGCAGGCCTCGAGTCGACAGCGTGTCAAAATTCGCCTGTGATTCTAGCTGGTGACTTTAATGTGCACAACCAAGACTGGCTCCACAGCAGTCAAACGACACGTGCAGGCGAATATGCAGAGGACATGTGCCACATGTATGGTTTTGAGCAGCTCGTCCATGAGCCAACCCGTGGTCGCAACACCTTGGACCTCGTGATGTCAGATTTACCAGGCAGAATCGTCACGCCTCTGCATCCACCCCTTGGCAAATCCGATCATGCAGTGATAGTTGCACATTTTGATGTGGCACCAACCCCAGACCGTCCGACGAAGCGCACAGTATGGCGGTACCAGCAAGCCGACTGGCCCCACCTACGCGCCTTCCTGCGCGACTCAGACTGGTCCTTCCTTGCTACTGATGACGCTGACACCTCATGTGACAAACTCACCAGGAAAGTCACAGAGGCAATGAAACGATTCATACCATCCAAAGTGCTGAAGCAACGAGCCAGCAACCCAATCTGGTGGTCTCCTGACTGCCAAGCATGTGTTGACAGAAAACAACAGGCGTGGAGGCGCCATCGAGCCTCCCCAGATGATGCTGCACTTCTTTCAATCTTCAAGGAGGCAGCAACTGCCGCAGTCGCCACTCTGCATCGAGCAAAGATGGCCCACATTGCGACAGTAAGGCACAAGATCAGCGCTGGAGGTCTCTCCAGCCGAGAGTGGTGGACTACGATCAAACGTGCTGGTGGCCATGGCAGCCGCTCCTCGGAGATCCCGACCTTGACCCAGGCCAACAGTGTTGAAGTCAGGCAGAGTGCAGCGAAAGCTGAGGCTTTTGCAAAGTTCTTCTCGTCAAAGTGCAGTTTGGGTATGGATGACTTGCAGGCAGACGCGCTCCCACCAGTTCGTCGCCGCTCAGATGCGCAGCTCCACACAGTGCACTTCCGACCTTGTGATGCAGGCTATCGTCAACCGTGCCCTCAGGAAATTCCTTGAGTCAAACAATATCCTGTCCCAGAGCCAGTATGGGTTCCGCAGTAGACTTGGCACCCAGGATATCCTCGCCCTATTGAATTCGCAGTGGGGCAGGGTGGCCGCAAGCGGTGGTGCAGTAAGGGTGATCGCAGTGGATGTGGCTGGTGCGTTTGACCGTGTCTCGCACACCGGAGTGCTTCACAAGGCAGTGTGCTATGGCGTAGCTGGTCACCTGCTTGGCTGGCTCCGCGACTACCTGAGCAACCGGAACCGTAGGCTAACCGCAGCTGTTGGTGGGGAGCTATCTCAGCCCTCCCCGGTGAGAGCTGGCGTCCCCCAGGGCAGCATCCTGGGACCGACTCTGTTCATCCTGTACACAAATGACGCCGAGGACCATCTCCCTCCTGGAATGGACCTCGCTGCATATGCCGACGACACTATGCTCTTCAACTTCATCACCTCAAGAGTGTCCATACCTGGCAGCTCTGCTATCATGCAACAGGGTGTGGATGCACTGTCTCGCTGGGGTGTGGAGTGGAAAATCAAGTTTGAGCCCTCCAAGACCCAAGCCATGACAATCGCACATCATCGCCAGCCTTGGCAGCTCCCGGGAACCACTTTCGACGCTACGCCAGCCAGCGAAGCAGGCCACCTGAAGCTCCTGGGGGTCACCTTTGACTCCCAGCTGACATATGCGCAGCACATCCGTACGATCCGCTCCAGAGCACAGCAACGCCTAGGCTTCCTGCGGAAGGCCTCTGCTATCCTAGAGCCCCCTGGCCGACTCCGAGCCTACAATGGGTTTGTCCGCCCTGTGCTGGAGTACTGTCCCCTGGTCTGGCTTGGTGCGTCACCCTCACACTTGGCCAAGCTAGACCAGATCCAGTGGCGAGCCATCCACATCATTGGATCGGGCTCCTGGCTCCCTAGTCTATCTCTGCGGCGGACAGTGGCCTCGCTTGCATACTTGTACAAGCTATTCTGCCTGGATGCGGACAGCCCGCTAAAGAAGATCCTCCCCCCTGGTGCCCAACGTCGACCTCAGGACATACAGCCCACCTGCGTGTCTGCTCAGCCTACGCACCCACACCAGCTATCGACTAACCTGCCAGCACGGACCCGAAACAGCTGTCTTCGCGCATTTCCTGCCAGCGCTGTGCAGACATGGAATGCTCTGCCCCCAAAGCATACTGCTGAGACCCCCACACCTGGAGGGCCTGCAAGCCTTTAAGTGCCGTGTCCACCGTCACCTCCAGCTGCACCACTGGAGCTGGGCGACTGAGAGCCTCTAGCAGACCTCTCACACCTACCTCAGCCGTAGTGCACACACCGCGTCTGAGACAGTGTCTTTTTTCGCTAGCTTATATACTCTCCCTCGCTCTATGTTGCGGCACAGTAGCTCCCTTGTTCATGTAATAGCTGGCCTACTGGAACAATTATGACTTTGCTGGCCAAATAGCTGAGGCTGCAGTCACCTCACCAATCATCTCATATTTTCAATGTTCCTTTTATTTTACTTTAACAATTTCGCAACCTCTCTCTCCCTCCCTCCCTCTTTCTCTCTCTCTCTCTCTCTCTCTCTCTCTCTCTCTCTCTCTCTCTCTCTCTCTCTCTCTCTCTCTCTCTCTCTCGCTCTCTCTCGCTCTCTCCCCCGCTCTCTCTCTCTCTCGCTCTCTCTCCCGCTCTCTCTCTCTCTCTCTCTCTCGCTCTCTCGCTCTCCCTCCCCCACCCACTCTTGGTGCGTCTAGGTGGCCATGAAGTCGAGACCCTAGGTCGGCGGAGCTCCCTAAACCTCACCACCACTGCCACGATTCAGGTTGTGCGTACTTCCCCTAGCTGCATCTCATGTTTGGCATTTAAGTGGTCTTTGTAAAAAATAAATTTAAAAATTTAAAAAACATGTATACCTAATGACTGGTGCACTGTGAAAGTACAACTTCTCACTGGGCCCTGTTGCCTTGTAGGGGCATGCCTGCGGTTTCGCAGTATCATTAAAAATCCCATCAGAGACACCGCCTATGTCACTCTATTTTAGTGATGATAAGATGTTTTTTTTGCTTTTTTTTTTTTACTAAGTACACAGCCTTCTCATCAGAAGGGGAGAAGACAAGAGAATATACAATAACAAAACAGCAGTGAGAGTAGGGGCTGCAAAGCAAGCCTGTGCTGGTGAGGCAAGCCTACAACACCGACATATGGTCTCGGCGTTAACGTGGGCTTGTGCACCATAGCCTAAAAGATATGGGTGATTTAGTGCGATAAAAGACAAGAGAAGGTGAGGTAGAGTGGTTGAGAAGAGAGAGAGAGAGAGAGAGAGAGAGAGAGAGAGAGAGAGAGAGAGAGAGAGAGAGAGAGAGAGAGAGAGAGAGAGAGAGAGAGAGAGAGAGAGAGAGAGAGAGAGAGAGAGAGAGAGAGAGAGAGAGAGAGAGAGAGAGAGAAAGAGAGAGAGAGAGAGAGAGAGAGAGAGAGAGAGAGAGAGAGAGAGAGAGAGAGAGAGAGAGAGTGAGAGAGAGAAAGAGAGAGAGAGAGAGTGAGAGAGAGTGAGTGAGAGAGAGAGAAGAGAGAGAGAGAGAGAGAGAGAGAGAGAGAGAGAGAGAGAGAGAGAGAGAGAGAGAGAGAGAGAGAGAGAGAGAGAGAGAGAGAGAGAGAGAGAGAGAGAGAGAGAGAGAGAGAGAGAGAGAGAGAGAGAGAGAGAGAGAGAGAGAGGAGAGAGAGAGGGAGAGGGAGAGGCAGAGGCAGAGGCAGAGGCAGAGGCAGAGGCAGAGGCAGAGGCAGAGGCAGAGGCAGAGGCAGAGGCAGAGGCAGAGGCAGAGGCAGAGGCAGAGGCAGAGGCAGAGGCAGAGGCAGAGGCAGAGGCAGAGGCAGAGGCAGAGGCAGAGGCAGAGGCAGAAGCAGAGGCAGAGGCAGAGGCAGAGGGAGAGGGAGAGGGAGAGGGAGAGGGAGAGAGATTCAAAGTCAGTTCATTTGGCTGTGAACATGATGCAATACTTGGGGGGGGGGGGGAAGCTTCAAGACGGAAATAGTTCTGAACTATTAGAGGGAGTCTGTGGCCCAAAGCCACTGGCTTCGGCGAAGATGGTAAGGTGGGATCCTGATTATTCAAAATGCCAGGAAAAAACTTCTAATTATCCGGACATTCTAATTATCCATAATCCTCGCCGTACTCATCAGGTTCCACGCTCACGCTGTGCTGTCCACCATGCTGCGTATCTTCCTCACTCGGCGCCTCTTGGTCACTGCCTGTGTCGCCCACGCTACGTTGCTCACCTGTACTAGCAGTGCACGCGGCAGCCAGGCCTGCGCGGGAATGGGTACGGTTTGTAGACGATTTTGTACGCGTATGCTGGCACTGCCGAGCAACTTGAAAATTCGGGGAACACTTGCCTTGGCAATGGTGGCTTCCTTGAGAGAGACAACTTCCTCAATCAGGCCTGACACCTGCCGCGACAGCTCATCAATTCTGTTGTTGAGGCGAGCCTCGCGATCAGCCGACTTGGACGCTAGGTTTGCCAGGGTCTTGATAACTTCAAGCGCAGACGACTAAATACCCGGAAGGGAGCACCAAGGTTTTCGTCTCTGCCTCTGAGAGCCCCTTGAGGGCGGCCTTTGTAGCTGGGTGCACGGTGGCCAGAGGTGGGTCAGCCCTACTACTACTCGATACTTACTACTAGTCCTCTTGGCCATGTCGAAGGGCTGCCAGAAAACCTTAGAAACTAAAAACTGCTTCCACTTCAAAATCTGCTTCCGCTTCAAAATCGTCAGACATGTATTCCCACCAGCTCAATGGTTATTGTCTTTCATGTACAACCATACTTTCCTAGAAATGTGTTCTGGGTCCTTCCAGGTGCTGGCTCGCAAAACACAAAAGATACATGTAGGATGAACACACTTTGCCTGCTATCGAACCAGACCATTCTTTTTGGCAAATTTGGGACCCAACATGGACAGGGCGGTACGCTCCTGTAGTGTGCCTGGTCTATTGCCCCCGTGCGGACTCTGAAGCTACCCGGACATTAAGCATGAGTAGTCAGCGCAGCCTGCAGACTTGAGACACTGTAGACCAGCGGTTATATGTTATTATACAGCACCTGTCTCACAGTCACACATGTACTTACCATTAAAGTCTCTATTGTTGACTGCGGCAACTCCTTGATGTTCTGTCAGCAGCTTCAGAATATCAACATTACCTGCACGGGGCGCAGAGTACAAACATGGTGCAGAGTACAAACATGGTGCAGAGTGTAAGCATGGTGCAGGGTGCACACATGATGCAGGGTGCACACATGGTGCAGGGTGCACACATGGTGCAGAGTGTAAGCATGGTGCAGGGTGCACACATGGGGCAGAGTACAAACATGGTGCAGGGTGCACACATGGGGCAGGGTACACACATGGGGCACAGAGTGCAAGCATAGGGAAGAGTCAGGGAGAGCATACACGGTACGACTTTAATAGAGCTATGAATAAAATGAAGGCGCAGACATCACGCAACTAAGGGCATGTTCGATTGGTAGGATCGGGATCCCGATCCACTGGATCCACTGGATTCGCACCCTTTCGATTGGTCGAATCCAGATCCGGATCCTTCGGATTTGGATCCGGTCAACCCACCTCGGGGAGCAGGGTTGTTATTGACCGGATCCACCAGATCCAAATGTGACCTTTGTGCGTATATGGCGGGTCAAAATCGTTTTTGTACACATTGTGGTACGCACACGTGGATTGAGATAGAGCTTGCTGACTTTTTGCACAACTGGCGCAGTGAGTACGACTTTTTATTACTTCGTCAACATGGCAACAGTCAAGGCCCAAAAAAGTGTCCAGTTGACTCTGAAGGATCCGACGGATCTGAGATCTGGATCCCGATCCTTACCAATCGAACATGCCCTAAGTTACTTGTTCGACATGTATGTGTATCCTATTACAATAATATTATATTCCACCATAATTCCAGAATTGATTTTCTGTCTCCATCATCAGTGAAATGTACGAAACTAAAGGTAACCAATGAAAGTAACTAAGTTAAATAATCAAGCAGGGGTACAAAGAAAAGCACATCAGGGTTGCTAAAAAATGCGCTAAAACACTGTAGGAAGGCTAGCAAGCGAGGTGACAATCTTACAAGACAAAGTGTAGAAGAACATATGCAGAAGTGTGACTGTATGAGTATAACCATAATGTGTAATCGATTCTGGAATACAATATTATTGTCATAGGATACACATACATGTCGAACAAGTAACTTAGTTGCGTGATGTCTGCGGCCTTCATTCTACTCATAGCTCTATTAAAATTACTGTCTTCTCGAAGATTGTTTGCATAACGACTTTCCTCTTGTCCCATGCATGCGACTCCACCTGATACAAGAGGAAAGTCGTTATACTCGATGTATTTTCATGTCTTCAGGCACCAAAAAGGTGTCAGAAAATCCAATCTGTCGTTATTTTCGAGGTCGTTATACCTCTTTCTGTACATTATAGATCGGGCATAACGACCTTGAAAATAACGACAGATAGGATTTACTGGCACCTTTTGGTGCCCGAAGACCTGAAAATACATCGAGTTGGATTTTCCTCTTGTATCAGGCGGAGTGCAGCTAGTGGCATGTATTGTACATGTCTGTGTCACATGCCCGGACCTCTTTTTTTAGTTTTCATTTAATTTTATTAAGGCCATGGTAAAAATTATCTTTGATTCTCAAGTACGCACGCACCGATTTTTGGCGGCGCACAGGGGATTTTTTATTTCTATGCATGCATATGCGCGCATGAAAATGGTCAATGCGAAAGGCATGAATCCGGGAGTAGTAAAATACCGGTATTTTTCTACTCCCTGGCCTGAATAGATGAACATGTGACCATTGTACATATTTTTTTTTGAAGTTCTCCCAATCCGTTCAAAAATTATTATTATTATTTTAATATTATGTACTATTATGTGAGATGAAATAAAACAGGAAAGGGCACAGGCCCTGATACGTGCAAGGGATAGCAATCAACCTTGCACATGAATTGACCATGTGCTCTAAATACATGTAAATGTAAATGCAAAACAATAAAAAACAAAAACACAAACAATGAGCAATAACTTCAGGACTGGGCACAAGTCCTAAACCAGTAAAAGGTGCAAGAGATAATAATCAACATTGCGAGTTCGAGTCAAAGCATGCGGACTCACAACAAAATGGCATCAATGTGAGCAAAGAGGAAGAAGAGAAAGGAAACAGCAAAACAAAAAACAAAGACGGAGGATAAACGGCAACAGAACCAAAACTGGCAAACAAACCTGTGACATCATCATGCACAGACACAAAAGACAAATTGAACCGAGTCAAACTGGCATGAGCGACTCATGCTGCAGGACATCGCTGGGGTGATGGCTGAAATTCACCTTCCTCCGACTACCACGCAACATCATGACGGAGTCACGGACTAGAGTGAAGCCAAGCTCACAGCGGATCCGTCCCATGAGGACGCTGTACGAGTCTCCGGTTGCCGCTGCCAGGCGAATGGCGAGACGTTTCAACACATTCCGGGCCTCACCGCCAGCTCCCCCGACAGAGGAGAACACCAATGGAGAGAAGCTGCCCCTCTCCACCCGCCGGATCCGCTCACCATAAGCCGCTTTCTTCTGCTCCTCATGCCATCTGTAGGTCGCAGAGAGGGACTTAGTCATGTAAGAGGACGTGCAGGGATAGAAAACCCTCATGTCAAAAAATGCATCCTCTTGCATGGACCAGAGGCCCCTCCCCTTGACGTCCAGTCTGGCCTGAGGGTCAGTGTTGGCGGCCCTTGGAAGAGCTTCACCAGCAAGGGGTTGAAGAACAGGCTCCGTCTCCACGGCATTGCACACTCTGCCAAGAAGGCCGGCAATGTAGTCCCGGACATGGTTGTGGCGGATGACGGGGAAGCCGCCACGTCTGCATATCCTGGCATGGTCGGTGGTGAAAGGCACACCACATAAGCAGGTGTCAGGGATACCAAGAACAGGCCACCCGTAGCGTGCAGCAAGAGCATCCTGGAATGACCTCCTGTCGAGGCTGAAGCCGTGTGCAGCGATGGGCAGGCACGATAGCCACGAGCTGGCACCGCGGTCGCAACTAGCCTCCAAGGAGCGCTGCTCATGGTCGCTGAGGTCTGCACTGATGGCGGCAGTAGTGTCGGACCACAGGGTACGGAGTTTGGCACGGCCCTGGAGCTTAGCATTGCGCACGGTGTCCTCGTCAGTGGCCAGCAGTAGGGACTGGCGCATGATGTTGGCCTGGAGCTCACTGGTGACTGCTACTGATGTGGCGTGCTGGAGTGGAGCGATAGACAGGGGGGACAGCAAACCAAGACCTCCAAGGCGAGGGGGCAGCGACAGCCTCAGCTGGCGCAGTGGGGGAGATGGAGGAGCAACGCCTGTAACAGCTGGGATGAACTCCTGGGCGATGACACACTCCAGAGCTTCAAAGTCAGCAATTGTACATATTATTATTATTATTATTATTCAGGAATGGGTTTGCTCCCACACTGGAGCTCGCGCTATTCCGCCGACGACTTGACACTTGACTGACTCACGACTGCCATCCAGAGAACACGAGAAGTCCATCGAACTTTCGACTCGGCAAACCCATTCCTGAACAAAATCATCGCCGAAGTCGCAACCTCTATTTCGTATTATTATTATTATTATTTGAAAGTAGGACGGAGGCAGAAAATATTACAAAAATGTATTATCTACGCATGCATCTACGCAAGAGTCACCACCAGCCAATTAGGACATGTGTCAAAGTATTGAACGTTTTCGTTCCCTTCGTGTCACCTGTCGTGAGTGGTATTCCGATGATGTATTCTCGGTTTTGTCACGTGGTAGGTCTTTGTTACATCTTGCCGTGTTGGAAGCTTTGTACATACGTAAGTTAGACCCTGAGCTTTGTGTTCAGAAGGAGAATGTGTTGTCTTTGCAGTTGTTTGGCACTGTTCGTCGTGAAGGTGCGAAATAGATCCCTTGATCTCTTGATATTTCTCTCTTTTTCTTGTCACTACGTTTTTGTCACTTATTGGATTTGCATGGTGTTTTCTTGATTCTTCACATCTATTTTTTCGTGTCACTTCTACACATAATTGGAGTGATATATTTCTGAACTTCTTTTCCTTATAGTTGTAGTCTTTTAGCTTATTATTATTATTCATTTTTTATTTATTTTTTTATTATTATTATACTGGTTTATTATGTACTATTATGTGAGATGAAATAAAACAGGAAAGGGCACAGGCCCTGATACGTGCAAGGGATAGCAATCAACCTTGCACATGAATTAAGCATGTGTTCTTAATACATGTAAATGTAAATGCAAAACAATAAAAAACAAAAACACAAACAATGAGCAAAAACTTCAGGACTGGGCACAAGTCCTAAACCAGTAAAAGATGCAAGAGATAATAATCAACCTTGCGAGTTCGAGTCAAAGCATGCGGACTCACAACAAAATGGCATCAACGTGAGCAAAGAGGAAGAAGAGAAAGGAAACAGCAAAACAAAAAGCAAAGACGGAGGATAAACGGCAACAAAACCAAAACTGGCAAACAAACCTGTGACATTATCATGCACAGACACAAAAGACAAATTGAACCGAGTCAAACTGGCATGAGCGACTCATGCTGCAGGACATCGCTGGGGTGATGGCTGAAATTCACCTTCCTCCGACTACCACGCAGCATCATGACGGAGTCACGGACTAGAGTGAAGCCAAGCTCACAGCGGATCCGTCCCATGAGGCGCTGTACGAGTCTCCGGTTGCCGCTGCCAGGCGAATGGCGAGACGTTTCAACACATTCCGGGCCTCACCGCCAGCTCCCCCGACTATAATTATTATTAAAGGGGAAGTTAAGGAAAGAATCAAAATTTCACCAGTTGTAGTCTTCGGGGTGCTGAGTCGAATGGTCGTGGTCCGAGGAAGCTGAGACGCTCCCTTCCTACTTGAATCCCAATCGAACTCGCGCACTTCCACCGAAACTGGGTGACTGCGCCCTACTAGATGGGGATTTGTATGCAAAATGTCACTAAAAGCGCTATTTCGTTCTTATAAAAGCATGGATGACCGCGATTGGCCGATATGTTGTAGTCTTTTGGACGCGGAGTCGATTGGTTTTGGTCCGAAAAGGCTGCGATGCAGCGTTCCTCCTTTATTCCCAATCGAACATGG